TCATAATAGCCAAGCAGTACTGGAGAGAGCCCCAGAGAGGGAGCTGAAGGCAGCCTAAGATAGCTGGAAGGAGCTTCTGAAACTGATTATTTTCGCAGTTATACCAAAATTAGAGTTAGGTGGTATGTGCTGCTCCATAAATGTTATCCGAATGTGTTCATGTTGAACGTTTTACTGTGCTGCAAATGTCTATAAGACTTTTTTAGCCCGAGATACCATAATTAAGTACATGTTTGATGTTACGACTTTATGATGCATGAAGGTTAAAACAGTTTTTAATGAGTTTTTAAAAACTAAGCACTATAAAGTATAGACCCTATGTTGCTTTACAGTTGGTATATAAATGTGGCCATCGTAGTTAGTTTGAGTTCAAAGAGAGGCCCCTACAACGTTCAGAAGCCGAGATAGAAAAGTCATTATATATTTGCGCCTGGGGGTAATTTAGGAGTTTTGCACCCTAGGGTTGAAACTAGTAATAGAATTTGATTACTTTATCAATTCTGATTTAGAATGACCTAACAGAGGACCCTGTGTTTAGAAACGTTGCAGACACTGAACTTCATACTCGATTTCACTTAACTTCTAAGAGTCGATTTTTACTCACGCCCAAGTGAAAATCGGTTTTACTGAATTTTTCCAAAAGATAAGCATTCTGGGCCTTCATGACCCTCATAGTGCCAATATAAACATGTACATTGCGGTCATTTTAAGCCCACCTTTGAGTCTCTAAGACCTTCAGAAGCTGAGATACAAATTTCCCATATTCGCACATAACATGAAATATGGGCGTGGCTCCACAGGGTTAAAACTACTAATAGAATTTGATTACTTTATCAATTCTGATTTAGAATGACCTAACAGAGGACCCTGTGTTTAGAAATGTTGTAGACACTGAACTGCTTACTCGATTTTCACTCAATTTCTAGTGTAGATTTTTTTACTCGCGCCCAAGTGAAAATTGGTTTTTCTGAATTTTCTCCAAAAATGAGCATTTTGGGCTTTCATGACCTTCATAGTACCAATATAAACATGTGCATTGCGGTCATTTTAAACTCAAGTTTGAGTCTCTAAGACCTTCAGAAGCTGAGATACATATTTCCCATATACGCACCTGATATGAAATATGGGCGTGGCTCCACAGGGTTGGGACTAGCGACACAACATGCGGCCCTCGATTTTTTGAGTTACCAATGACCTATTTAACCCGATTAAGCAGCAAAAAACTCTATACATCGAAGTGCACACTCAACTCCTCCCTGCTACTGGAGTAGGCGCCTGAATCTCGTACATTACGTAGCCTTTGTTTCCGTGTAATTGTTCTTAGTTTTAAGTTTTCTATTTAGAGCCTCACTTTATTAACTATTATTAGCTGTTCTGAAACAACAGAGCAGTGGGGGGGACTAGTTATGCAGTAAGATAAACAACAGAGCAGTTGGTGGGGAGGGGGAGGGGGGGCTAGTTATGCAGTAAGATAAACAACAGAGCAGTTGGTGGGGAGGGGGGGGGCTAGTTATGCAGTAAGATAAACAACAGAGCAGTTGGTGGGGAGGGGGGGGGGGCTAGTTATGCAGTAAGATAAACAACAGAGCAGTGTGGGGGGGAGGGGGGAGGGGGCTAGTTATGCAGTAAGATAAACAACAAAGCAGTGGGGGGGGGAGGGGGGAGGGGGCTAGTTATGCAGTGAGATAAACAACAGAGCAGTGGGGGGGAGGGGGGAGGGGGCTAGTTATGCAGTGAGATAAACAACAGAGCAGTGGGGGGGGGGAGGGGGGAGGGGGCTAGTTATGCAGTGAGATAAACAACAGAGCAGTTGGTGGGGAGGGGGGGGGGGGCTAGTTATGCAGTAAGATAAACAACAGAGCAGTGTGGGGGGGGAGGGGGGAGGGGGCTAGTTATGCAGTAAGATAAACAACAAAGCAGTGGGGGGGAGGGGGGAGGGGGCTAGTTATGCAGTAAGATAAACAACAGAGCAGTGGGGGGGAGGGGGAGGGGGCTAGTTATGCAGTGAGATAAACAACAGAGCAGTGGGGGGGGAGGGGGGAGGGGGCTAGTTATGCAGTGAGATAAACAACAGAGCAGTGGGGGGGGGGGAGGGGGGAGGGGGCTAGTTATGCAGTGAGATAAACAACAGAGCAGTTGGTGGGGAGGGGGGGGGCTAGTTATGCAGTAAGATAAACAACAGAGCAGTGTGGGGGGGGAGGGGGGAGGGGGCTAGTTATGCAGTAAGATAAACAACAAAGCAGTGGGGGGGAGGGGGGAGGGGGCTAGTTATGCAGTAAGATAAACAACAGAGCAGTGGGGGGGGAGGGGGGAGGGGGCTAGTTATGCAGTGAGATAAACAACAGAGCAGTGGGGGGGGAGGGGGGAGGGGGCTAGTTATGCAGTGAGATAAACAACAGAGCAGTGGGGGGGAGGGGGGAGGGGGCTAGTTATGCAGTAAGATAAACAACAGAGCAGTGGGGGGGGGGAGGGGGGAGGGGGCTAGTTATGCAGTAAGATAAACAACAGAGCAGTTGGTGGGGAGGGGGGGGGCTAGTTATGCAGTAAGATAAACAACAGAGCAGTGTGGGGGGGGAGGGGGGAGGGGGCTAGTTATGCAGTAAGATAAACAACAAAGCAGTGGGGGGGGAGGGGGGAGGGGGCTAGTTATGCAGTAAGATAAACAACAGAGCAGTGGGGGGGGAGGGGGGAGGGGGCTGGTTATGCAGTGAGATAAACAACAGAGCAGTGGGGGGGAGGGGGGGAGGGGCTAGTTATGCAGTAAGATAAACAACAGAGCAGTGGGGGGGGGGGGAGGGGGGAGGGGGCTAGTTATGCAGTGAGATAAACAACAGAGCAGTGGGGGGAGGGGGGGAGGGGCTAGTTATGCAGTAAGATAAACAACAGAGCAGTGGGGGGGGAGGGGGGAGGGGGCTAGTTATGCAGTAAGATAAACAACAAAGCAGTGGGGGGGAGGGGGGGAGGGGCTAGTTATGCAGTAAGATAAACAACAGAGCAGTGGGGGGGGGGAGGGGGGAGGGGGCTAGTTATGCAGTGAGATAAACAACAGAGCAGTGGGGGGGAGGGGGGAGGGGCTAGTTATGCAGTAAGATAAACAACAGAGCAGTGGGGGGGAGGGGGGAGGGGGCTAGTTATGCAGTAAGATAAACAACAAAGCAGTGGGGGGGGAGGGGGGGGAGGGGGCTAGTTATGCAGTAAGATAAACAACAAAGCAGTGGGGGGGAGGGGGGAGGGGCTAGTTATGCAGTAAGATAAACAACAGAGCAGTGGGGGGGAGGGGGGAGGGGGCTAGTTATGCAGTAAGATAAACAACAAAGCAGTGGGGGGGAGGGGGGGAGGGGCTAGTTATGCAGTAAGATAAACAACAGAGCAGTGGGGGGGGGGGGAGGGGGGAGGGGGCTAGTTATGCAGTGAGATAAACAACAGAGCAGTGGGGGGGAGGGGGGAGGGGCTAGTTATGCAGTAAGATAAACAACAGAGCAGTGGGGGGGGGGGGAGGGGGGAGGGGGCTAGTTATGCAGTGAGATAAACAACAGAGCAGTGGGGGGGAGGGGGGGAGGGGCTAGTTATGCAGTAAGATAAACAACAGAGCAGTGGGGGGGGGGAGGGGGGAGGGGGCTAGTTATGCAGTAAGATAAACAACAGAGCAGTGGGGGGGGGAGGGGGCTAGTTATGCAGTAAGATAAACAACAGAGCAGTGGGGGGGGGAGGGGGGAGGGGGCTAGTTATGCAGTGAGATAAACAACAGAGCAGTGGGGGGGGAGGGGGGAGGGGGCTAGTTATGCAGTAAGATAAACAACAGAGCAGTGGGGGGGGGAGGGGGGCTAGTTATGCAGTAAGATAAACAACAGAGCAGTGGGGGGGGAGGGGGGAGGGGGCTAGTTATGCAGTGAGATAAACAACAGAGCAGTGGGGGGGGGGAGGGGGGAGGGGGCTAGTTATGCAGTGAGATAAACAACAGAGCAGTGGGGGGGGAGGGGGGAGGGGGCTAGTTATGCAGTAAGATAAACAACAGAGCAGTGGGGGGGAGGGGGGAGGAGGGGCTAGTTATGCAGTAAGATAAACAACAAAGCAGTGGGGGGGAGGGGGGAGGGGCTAGTTATGCAGTAAGATAAACAACAGAGCAGTGGGGGGGGGGGAGGGGGGGAGGGGCTAGTTATGCAGTAAGATAAACAACAGAGCAGTGGGGGGGGGAGGGGGGAGGGGGCTAGTTATGCAGTGAGATAAACAACAGAGCAGTGGGGGGGAGGGGGGAGGGGCTAGTTATGCAGTAAGATAAACAACAGAGCAGTGGGGGGGAGGGGGGAGGGGGCTAGTTATGCAGTGAGATAAACAACAAAGCAGTGGGGGGGGGGAGGGGGGCTAGTTATGCAGTAAGATAAACAACAGAGCAGTGGGGGGGGGGAGGGGGGAGGGGGCTAGTTATGCAGTGAGATAAACAACAAAGCAGTGGGGGGGAGGGGGGGCTAGTTATGCAGTAAGATAAACAACAGAGCAGTGGGGGGGGGAGGGGGAGGGGGGGGCTAGTTATGCAGTAAGATAAACAACAGAGCAGTGGGGGGGAGGGGGAGGGGGGGCTAGTTATGCAGTTAGATAAACAACAGAGCAGTGGGGGGGGAGGGGGGAGGGGGCTAGTTATGCAGTAAGATTGTGGGGTGTACAAGGCATACAATTATAGCCAAGCAATTAAGCTGAATATTTGCATAGTTTCGTCTGGGACACATTGAGATCGGAAAGTTGATTGATTACAGCTACATTACAGTTCATTACAGTAGTTAACAGTGTATATGAACATGTCAGATCAGGGCTCTGTTAATCAAGACTCTGTCAGATCCAATATTATATTGCATTCGGATCCACCAAATGTTTATTGAACTGATTTACTAGTCGGGTGAAGTGTTTTCTTTTGTTTCTCTGTATTTCTATTTGCTTACTTGATCACTGTCGTGTGGCGCCCGTTACAATATCTATAAGATAGTGATATTAAACAATCCCCTTTGTTTGTAGCTATGACTCCTGCAGGAGAGATATACAGTACGTATAGTGGACCCTGACAGTTATGGTGCTCTGTTTCACAGGTCGAGGAGGATTAACTTTAACGAAGTGCGCTACACCACACTCAATGAGTGTGACTTTATCTACAACATACCTGCTGGTAAATATACTTTAATACTATTAGTTACTTCTATTACTAATAGTGGTAACTGTTAGTTAATATTTAAAATTACTTCTATTACTAATAGTTGCCCCGAGAGGCCCGGTGAGGTTTAACTGTAGGAGTAACTGTTGTTTAAATAGCTAATGTTTTATACACTAATTGTACTAGCAGGAACCCGTATAACCCTAAAATGGTGTCAAGACTCAAGAGACTAAAATAATTATTACCTATTTAATTCGCGTTTTTGACATCACTTGGGGGTCCAAATTTTGGGGTCTAAAACTCCTATTTCTTGGCCAATTTTTATTTTTTCATGCTGATTTGGAGGCCATTAAAGCATTTGACCCAGTCAAAAACGTTTCAATTGTATATCTTTTACGGTTTTTGCGGGAAGTCGCGTTAAAGTTGATGCCGTGGTGTCAGTAAAATGGTACGGAACCCTCCATATATATCGTCTTGCTTTATATATAGTAAGATACACTATAACCCACAACTACTATACACTACCCTACAAATTACTTATTTAAAGTATATATTAATTTCTAATAACTAATAACTACCTTACTCGGGATTATTATGACCGGGATAAAGTGGCGGGTTTAGGGTAATTTCGCCATATTTTTCCCGAACCACATTTTCACCGGTCGTTAATAAACCCGCCGACTCAGCTTTTAGGGTTCCCAAGGGGTATGGGTGCTCATATTTTAATGGTTGTCTTATGTTCACTAAAGAAGACTATTGGGACACTTGTTGTAGGTTTTTCGACTTCATTTGGCTAAAATTGCAAAAAATTCACCTTTTTGCCCAATTCTTGTCATATATCCTTATTGTCAAAGTTGATTTGAATAGGCCAATTTTTAATTTCTTAGGTATTGAATATCTCTACATAATGAAATAGGACTCAAAGTAAAAGTAACAGTTAAATTAAAACTCGAATTAATTAAAACGGTCAATAACATGAATCAGTTTCATCAGTCATTTATTCATAATTCTAAACAATGTGAACGATGCATTCTTTCGAACATTTTCTACAAATTGAGTCATAATGGTTATTTGATACACGTAAACATGTAATGCTAATTCAAAACAACGAATTTGCTAGAGTCTACTTTCAACAATTATTGATAATTGGGATAATTCGACTTGTTTCACAAGTTTTAGCAATGCGAAAATTTCTGAACCTGCTTATCTCTAATAAGGAAATTTACATCTGAGACAAAATTTTTGAATCTAAAATTGAAAGGTTGGACACCGGTAAAATGGCGACCGGGAAAATGTGGTGGGTTTTGAGCAATTTCGCCATATTTTTCCCGAACCATATTTTAACCGGTCGTTAATAAACCCGTCGTAATAATCCCGAGTAAGGTAATAACTTATAATGTTCCTAATAACCACATCCCTCTTCATGTCCTTTCTTTACAACTACTATTATTATTACTTTATTATTACTATTTACAGGACGAATGGTGATTGATGAGGAAACGGGCAGGATGATATTCACTTACGCTTGGCTTTACTTCATGTCCCGGTCTTTTGAGATTCCTATTGGAAGTATTACCCAGTATAAGGTAACTATACAGTATACACCCCCAGTGTAAGTTAACTATACAGTATACACCCCCTGTACTTGATTATTACACGAGAGTGGAGGCATGTTAATGGTGTCTCATAAGGACACGGTCGATTTAATGACTGGTTTAATCAGTTTTGTAATAATAATTGGTAGGTTTATTAAAGTTTGCTCTTCATTATATTATGTAGGTGACACTAAATGTTCAATATAAATGCTATCTATTATTTATTTAATAATAACTATTACGTTGCCTGCACACTCTTCTCAAAGTGTGCCACGTTAAACTCTTACTAAACCTCTAGTTTAGTAAGAGTACTAACTGTACCTCTAACTGTACCTAACTCGTTTCCCTCTTGCAATGTGACGCCTTTGTTCGTCCCGCGCTGCGAATAGTGACATGTCCTTATGGATAGCTCAAGCGAATAGAGTGTCGTTAAAGATAGCTCTAGCTACTACTACTACTACTACTAGTACAAGCGTTGCCCTCCGCTACAACCGGTCATTTCCCTCTTGCTAAAAGGTATAAGCTGACATCTCTCCGAGATGGAAACTTTAAACCGACACTATAAGTACCCGTCTTCTATAATACCTGTTAGTTATATTTGAGGAACCTGCCACTATGAAGAAATTTGTACTTTTCACTCTACTCGCTTGTCTGCTAGCTCTAGCAGTTGTTGATGCTAAGTGCAAGAAGTGCCACAAGAGGAAATACCAGAAGTGTCTGACTCTAGGCTTCAGTGCTTCTATTGAAGGGTGTGTCGGTGCTGCTGATGTCACTCCTAGAAAAAGACTGGTTAAAAGATGCACTAATATTGAAAACAAGCTGAAAGAGTGTGGATATTCGTGCAGCGAACCTGAACCTGAACCACAACCAGAACCTGAACCTGAACCACAACCAGAACCTGAACCTGAACCACAACCAGAACCAGAGCCTGAACCACAACCAGAACCTGAAACCCTGAAACCTACAACAGAAACCTGAACTGAACTGAACAAGACCAGAACCAGAACAAGAACCCGAATCAATTGATGGCGGGTGGTCTGGTTACGGAGACTGGTCTACGTGTTCAGTAACGTGTGGAGAAGGAACCCAAAGTAGAACTAGATCTTGCACTAACCCCATCCCTGTTCACGGTGGTGCTAAATGCCCGAGGGAGAGGATGCAGAATCCAAAGCTTGCAACAACGGAGGTTGTCCTGGATACTGTAAAGATAACTCCTGCTACAAGGGCGAGGTCAGCTACACAGCGATGTAGATTGGCGAGGAGTTGAAGTCTCCCAACGGAAAATACGCCTTGGAAATCAGAAGATGGAAACTTGGTGCTCTATTGCAATGGAAATAATGCTGTGTGGAGTTCTGATACGTCAGATAAGAGTGTAGCGAAGGTCCAGATGTTCAGACTGATGGTAAACCTGGTACTCTACATGTCCTGACCGCACAGCACTCTGGCAAAATCTGAACTCCTACCGATAAGGGAGTCACTAGCATGGTTCAGCCAGGATGACGGGAACTTTGTTCTAATACTGACAACAGAGACGCTATTGGGACCTGTGGACCTTAATAAATGTTTAATTTACTCACTCCTGAACAATTTATCCGATCAACATTTAATATTATTTGGGATTAACTTTTTCGAAGTTTCTCAAAGTGTAAACAGTACATTGAACAATTAGTTGTTAACTTTCTACCCTTAAATATTTTAAATAAGACCTTCTAAAGCATGTGTAAAATAGCATATCGTGTTAAGACAAGCTGTTATATCGTGAATTTCAGTGATAATTTAATTAAATGTGTCTTATTTTGCAATTCTCAAATTTACCAAATCTTCGTGTACCTAACATTCATGATTTTGTGTGCTAAATATAGAAAACTTCAATAATATGTGTCCATATAGCCAAATATCTATCGATCAAATAGCGAATGAAGTCAGTATATTCAAACAATATAAACTTATAAATACTTTCTTTTGGCTTTCTCGAGAAGACTCATACATGAGTTCAGAAGTGTTCATATCATGCTACTCGCTAGTAATCAGTAACTAAAACTGTAAAATGCAAATTTATTAACTTGCAATTAACATTCACCTGTCTACACTCTAACAGTATGGATAAAATTCGATTTGGAAATTGAGAGACAGTATAATGAGGTCATCATCAAAACTTATTACACTAATTTAATACGTCATTTAAAGCATGATTCACGATTATATAATATATAACAACTAGAGCACATCTTTAATCCTTCGTCTGGAAATCTGGTTTTAGTTAGCTTCGTTATAAGATATAGAGAAGTATGTGCTATTGAATACCTACCGGTCAGACTCAACTCGTGCTTTTGATGAGGTAGACGACGAGCAATGACAGACAAAAGATCAATTTATAAAAGCTCCTCTGACATATGAATGTTAATTAAACAATCCTAAACTGCACAGCATAAATTTATATGCCAAGTAATGCCAGATTCAGCTCACAGAATGTAAAATTATGTACAGGGGGGGGGCTGTATTTACTAGTGTATTTAAAAATATAATTCACTAAGAATATCACACCTAGATCAGAACATTAAGCCACAAAGAAAATAATAAGAAAACGTTTTCACTGATTCCTATCGGTATCGGTAGCCTTTTATAGTTTGCTCCTCCCATAACGTATATTATAAAAGGAGTTAGCATTCTGTTGGGAGGCCGGTGCGGTTCAGGAAATAAAGTTACACCGAAAATACAGTCTATATTTGTTTATCAAAACTTCAAAAGAATGAGAATCTGGGCAATCGAGTAGTATGGAGATAATATTATGTACTTGTGAGGGCAGCAACAAGGGGTGCTTGTGAGGGCAGCAACAAGGGGTGCTTGTGAGGGCAGCAACAAGGGGTGCTTGTGAGGGCAGCAACAGGGGTCTTGTGAAGATAGGGATATCAGACTCAGTACTCATAGAACGGCACAAAGTAGTATAATAGACATAATACATACAGTGGGGTGTCATACCCTCCTCCTGGTGACCTCCTTAGTGCCCACTGTAACCCCCTACTAACCACATTGTCAATCCCTCTGATCTACCCTGAAATTACTCAGCCCAGACCACCTTTAAACCCAGATGTAATTTCCCGACAGATTGTTCGCTATTTTGTGGAAAGTACTATGTAGGGAGGGGGGTACTATGTTAGAGTTTATAGCGGGGTATCAGGTTAGAGGAAGGGGATCAGGTAGACGTGTTAGAGCGGGGGGGGGTCAATGTAGAGTGTAGAGCGGGGGGGGGGGTCTCAGGAAAGTGTAGAGGTAGGGGGATCAGGTAGAGTGTAGAGCGGGGGGGGGGGGGTCAGGTAGAGTGTAGAGCGGGGGGGGGGGGGGATCAGAGGTAGATTGTAAGCGGGGGGGTCAGGTAGAGTTGTAGAGTAGGGGATCAGTAGAAGTGAAGCGGGGGGGGGGGGTCACAGGTAGAGTGTAGAGCGGGGGGGGGGGGTCAGGTAGAGTTGTAGATGTAGGGGGATCAGGTTAAGAGTGAGAGCCGGGGGGGGGGGTCAGGTAGATGAGAGCTGGGGGAATCAGGAGGTAGATGTCGAGCGGTGGGGGGGTTCAGGTAGAGTGTAGAGGGGGTTATGGATCAGGTAGAGTTAGAGCGGGGGGGGGGGTCTGTAGAGGTAGACACACGATAAAGGTAATTATCGCGGGTAGCACTCAACAACCAAGGTATTGTTTTATTATAAACATAATTTCAATTTTCTTTGCCTGTGATGTGTTCGCGACTTTGATAAAAGGTTTTTATTTCCTTGTAGGCGCGAATGATACATATAAATAAGTTCGTCATGGTGCTATAAAAACAACCGTTTCTTGGAAATTATTACAGAACTGCTATGACTTACACTTCAAAACACCTTCGAATACAAAGATAATCAGATTTAATTGCTGGCCTTTATTAATTAGATATTTACCACGGTAGCCAATGTGTTAATTTTTCTGGCAGCGTACTTTGAGACAATGTTGTGCATTATTGTGTTTCAAACACGATGACATACAAAGGTATGTATACCTTTGTTTATTATTATATATAATAAACAAAAAGTTGCAACTTTTCTTGCAACATTACGCAGATGTGATATTATTTAAAGTAGAGTTCCTGTTTTAGAGTTCCTGTTTTAGAGTTCCTGTTTTAGAGTTCCTGTTTTAGAGTTCCTGTCTAGAGAAGTAATTTTTTAGAGTTCCTGTTTTAGAGAAGTAATGTTTTAGAGTTCCTGTTTTAGAGTTCCTTTTTTATAGTTCCTGTTTTAGAGTTCCTGTCTAGAAAAGTAATGTTTTAGAGTTCCTGTTTTAGAGTTTCTGTTTTAGAGAAGTTATGTTTTAGAGTTCCTGATTTAGAGTTCCTGTATTAGAGTTCCTGTTGTAGAGAAGTAATGTTATAGAGTTCCTGTTTTAGAATTCCTGTTTTAGAGTTCCTGTCTAGAGAAGTAATGTTTTAGAGTTCCTGTTTTAGAGTTCCTGTCTAGATAGATAGATAAGAGAAGTAATGTTTTCAGTTACTGGAGGATGAGGAGGAAGATTCCCATCCTTTCTACAGAACAGCTATAAACTTTAACTGTTACAAGACCAGTCACCGCATCGTGGAAATAAGGTAGGTGAGGGGTAGTGAAACTAGTAGGTCTGAAATAAGGTAGGTGAGGGTATAATCTAACAGGTCGTGAAATAAGGAAGGTGAGGGTAGTGAACTATTAGTCAGGGGGGGGGGAAAAATGTAAGGTAGGTGAGGGGTATTGAAACTAGCAGGTCTGAAATAAGGTAGGTGAGGGGTATTGAAACTAGCAGGTCCCTGAAAATAAGTATGAGAGGGGTAGTGAAACTATAGTCCTGGATAAAATAAGGTAGGTGAGGGGTAGTGAAACTAGTAGGTCTGAAATAAGGTAGGTGAGGGGTATTGAAACTAGCAGGTCTGAAATAAGATCAGTAAAACTAGCTGCCATGTGTAGTACCTTTAATTTGTATTAATTAAATTCAGTAATCAGTATTAACATCGGTAATATAGTATTACCATTGAAATTATAACTTTATTTCTTGAGTATCTCATATTCATTTCAGATACAACGAAGGTCCAATATCTAAACGTGCTACAATCAAGATAAAGAATTACAATCACATAATCAAGGGAATTGAGAATTATTTGATCGGAGTACGGTACTCGTAGTACCGCTGTCTAGTAGCTGGAATAACATGACCCATGTTGCTGCCAGGTTGACAACCCGAGATTTAGATTGTTTGTTGAGATAGTGGATGTTGTTGAATCTACATATTGTTCATTTATTTTGGGAGATCGTTTCAACCGGATCAATTTGAAATTATTAATTTGGTGATTTAATCTAACCCATGCAATGTGTGTCTCATATCCGCGTAGTGAAAAGCGGGGAGGTGTTTAATAGTACAGGGGAGGTGTCTAATAGTACACCCCCCTAATAGTACTTAGTATTACTAATAGTACTAAGTACGGGTTGAGCAAGTTTTACGATAATCAATTGTTTTTACTCTGAGTTTATGATCTATTTATATATTTTATTGGTTACTCAATTATTATGTTGATAAGTGAGTATGTCTGCTATTCATCGAATTTCTTGTCCAATAAAATAATATTAATTGTTTATAGTTGAAATTTTTAATGATCTAGGAACACTTGACGGTATAGTTTTAATTTTGATTAAGAAAATTAATCTGAAAGAATGTGTTTATCTTGAAAATGAAAATTAAGTTATTAAAACTACTGTCTTATTGTTTATCATAATTAATAAGTGTTTAACTTGAATTACAGATTGGGAACGTTCCTAGTAACAACTCACAACTACCTGCAGAAGTGTCTACCTAGAAAAAAGATGATTTTGCAAAAAATGTGATTTATGCTTTTTAAAAATGCCTTATGAATATTATTATTTACTATGTCATATCGTTCGTATCGGAACTGGATACAAAGTTACTACTGTTACCATGGTTAACACAGACGACACATGTTTTGGGAGTAGCCCTTACATATTGATATACCACTCGGGCACTCGATGTTTTGAAAGTTACATCCTTCAAAGAGCCCATGCACAACGATGTTTTGTGTGTAAAATCTCGCAATGCTGTGTTTTTATTTATTTAAATAAACCTGTTAAATTTACAAACCTTTTAAAGTAAAAAGTTGAAATTTTCATTTTTCAGGCTTGTTTTGACCATTGCGTTGTTTTGATACTTGACATGAAATTGTTCTCAGAATTCTAGATATTTTACCTGGTACCGTTTTGGCAGTGTGAACTGGTACACGTGTGACATAAGCACGCTCCACTATATTATCTTAAATACAATTATGAATTTTTGGTTGGTTTGGGGGGGGTTGGTTGGTATTGTGGTGTCTACAATCGTACAGGCAAATAATTGTAAGGTAACATACTTGTTAATACTCTCTTGGATTGCAAATCATTCGTATACCACATAATGTTATGTGCTCGAATAAGCGTGTCTTATACCTTGTCTAGTGAACCTGGCCTCATATATGAGGCCAGGTTCACTAGACAAGGTATAAGACACGCTTATTCGAGCAGTATATATACTCCTATTGGCATTGTTCCAACAGCTCATTACTAGATTAGTTCTTTCTTTAGATTCCAGATTATTAAATAGAAAATTATGCATTATAAATCAAGAGGCATCATAAATAATTAAGCATAATGAACACGGTTTCAGAGTTGAGTGCTGTACGTAACCTAGTAGTTTCATGACCTTGGTTTAACTTGCGTACAGCAAGGTCATCGCACTACGTTAGCCGGCGAGGCACTAACTCCCTCTACAACTCCATGACAAATGTGTTCATATATACTAGCCGAGTTCACAAGTTATATCCTTGTGTAAGAAAACTTTTTTACATTTAAACTTGCTTTATACATGTACCAGGTACCTCTGATGTATTGTCTGTTGAAAATGATATTTTTTACATGTTTTGAGGGCCAGTTGGTAGATCACCGACCGGCTATAAGCCGGCTACTAACCGGCTATAAGGCCGCTACAATTTTTATAGCCGGCTAAAAGCCGCTTAATAGCCGGTTAGTAGCCGCTTACATTAGTTTGTTGCTGAGCGACGGCTATTATCCGTTTTATAACCAGCTATTAGCCGTTTTGGTAATTAAAATGTGTATAAGCCGGTTTGATAAATATTAACTCAACTACATCGTACTGAACGATAGTCATGAGCCGGCTATAAGAAATTTCAGTGAAAACGGCTTTAGCCGTTTATAAGCCGTCTATTAGCCGATTTGAAGTAACTAAAGTGGTTATAAGCCGGCTTAAGCCGGTTATAAGAATATTAACACAGTTCAAGAACGATGTAAGATAAGTTAATATCTTATAGACCGCATAAAACCACTATACGAAATACCCTAAACGGCTAATAGCCGCATAAAAAACCGCCTAAATAGCCGTTTTCGAGCTGAATTTCTATAGCGCACTTGACTATCGATCAGTACGTGAAGTTATTTAATATCATAAAACCGTCTTATAGCCGGCTTTAGCCGCTTATAACCACTTTCGATACCTAAACGGCTAAATAGCCGTCTTATAACCGGCTAAAGCCGTTTTCACGAGATTTCTTCTAGCCGATACCTAAACGGCTAATAGCCATCTATAACCGCAAATAGCCTACCTCACCAACAAAATGTAAGCTGCTACTAAACGCGGCTATAAGCCGTGCTTAAGAGCCGGCTATAAAAAATGTATTCCGGCCTATAAGCCGGTTAATAGCCGGCTTATAACGGCTATAGCCGGTACGGTATCAATCCAATTTCCCTTAATTGGCCTACCTCGATCCCTCCTCTATCATCATTATTAGCCTCCTGCGTCCTGTCATAAGCACCCACTTCCCTCCTCTATCACTCCATATTGAGCCTCCTGGTTCCGTCATAGCACCCTCGACCCTCCTCTATCCATCATTATTATCCTCCTGGATTCCTGTCATAGCACCCTCGTCCCTCCTCTAACATCTTATTAGCTCCTGGTCCTGTCATAGCACCGCTCTCCCTCCTCTATCATCATAATTAGCCCTCCTTGTTCCTGTCATAGCACCCTCTCCTCCTCTATCATCATTATTAGCCTCCTGGTTCCTGTCATAGCACCCTCGTCCTCCTCTATCATCATTATTAGCCTCCTGGTTCCTGTCATAGCACCCTCGTCCCTCCTCTATCATCATTATTAGCCTCCTGGTTCCTGTCATAGCACCCCGTACCTCTCTATCAACATTATTACCTCCTGGTTCCTTCATAGCACCCTCGATCACTCTATCATCATTAATAGCCACCAGGTTATCTGTCATAGGCACCCACGTCCCTCCTCTATCATTCATATTATCTCCTGGTTCCTGTCATAGCACCCCTCGACCCTCCTCTATCATCATAAAGCCTCCTGGTTCCTGTCATAGCACCCTCGTCCCTCCTCTATCATCATTATTAGCCTCCTGGTTCCTGTCCATACACACTCGACCCCTCCTCATATCTCATTATACCTCCTGGTTCCTGTCATAGCACGTAGATTATGCTGACAAGATAATATTGTGTTCTATAGTATTAGAGTATTATGTCTAAAAGACGTTTAATAGTCATACCACTCATATATTTTTATCATATATCATTGAGTCACTCTGCGGTAGTAATATCCCCTTTCACTAACACTAGTTATAAATGTTAATTAACATTAGGAGAAAGTGGCAATTATATAATATTATCTATATTATCTATATTATATACATATTATATATTTTAATTTTCTACTATTCCTATATAAAGAGTGTGAATGTGATACAACATGGGGCCGCACGTGCTAGTTGCTACAGCCGCGCAGTTTGATAGATCAGACATCATAGATCTGTGCAGTAAGCAGTTTTTCCCAATGGAATGATCTTAATTATAGTTTATAAGTTATTATCTGTAGTAAACTACAAAATAAATTTAAATTTTTGGCCAAAAATCTTGGGGGGATCGTCCCACAATCCCCTCGGGAATTACGGCCCTGGTTCGTAGTGGTCCTGGTATTTGTAATTCATCTTCGCCTGCAGAGGGGTGTGTGTGCTCCTGGTACACAATATGACCTCACTTAGTCACGTGTTAAGTACTGTTACTCACGTTACCACTATAACTAGCTACTATCACTACTACTACACAACAACAAACCACAGCTACTACCACTAGCTACTACCACTACCACTACCAACCACTACCACTACCACTACCACTAGCTACTACCACTAGCTACTACCACTACCACTACCACTACCACTACCACTAGCTACTACCACTAGCTACTACCACTAGCTACTACCACTAGCTACTACCACTAGCTACTACCACTAGCTACTACCACTAGCTACTACCACTAGCTACTACCACTAGCTACTACCACTAGCTACTACCAATAGCTACTACCACTAGCTACTACCACTAGCTACTACCACTACCAGTTACCACTAGCTACTACCAGTTACCACTAGCTACTACCAGTTACCACTAGCTACTACCAGTTACCACTAGCTACTACCAGTTACCACTATAACTAGCTACTACCACTAGCTACTACCACTCTCACAGCTGCAGACTTTTTAAAAATAACATTATCTGAGATATACCTGCAGGAACAGAGCAGGTGTATACTACATATATCTGCAGTCCTTTTCTGGGCATTCTTATTGGCTGAGATAGAGTAATGAAGCATTCTTATTGGCTGAGATAGAGTAATGAGGCATCTTATTGGCTGAGATAGAGTAATGAGTAATCACACCCTTATGTTTCTTTGATTATAAAGCAGTAAATCGGACTGTTTTGTTATTGGTACTCGGGGCTACTTACACAAAACAAGCCTGCTAAATTTGTAGTGTATTTTGTTATTGGTACTCGGGGCTCTACACACAGTACTGCTATATTTGTAGTGTTATTGTATTGGTACACGGCGCTACTACACACAGCACTGCTATAATTTGTAGTGGTATTTTGTTATGGTACTCGGTGTTACAACACACAGCACTGCTATAATTGTAGGGTATTTTGTTATTGGTACTCCGGGGCCTACTACACACAGCACTGCTTTAATTTGTAGTTGTTATTTTTGGTTATTGGACTCGGGCTACAACAACACATTACTGTATTAAATTGTAGTGGTAATTTTTATTGTTACACGGGTTACTACACACAGCACTGCTAAAATTTGTAGTGGTATATTGTTATTGTTATCGGGGCCACTACACACAGCACTGCTTATAATTTGTAGTGTATTTGATATTGGTACTTTCCCCGGGGGGGGGCCCCCCCACTACACACCAGCACTGCTATAATTTGTAGTTGTTTTTGTTATTGGTACTCGGGCTACTACACACAGCACTGCTAAAATTGTGTAGGTGGTATTTTGTTTATTGGACTCGGGCAACTAGACAGTAGAACACACAGCACTGCTATAATTCTGTAGTGGTATTTGTTATTGGTACTCGGGCTACTACACACAGCACTGCTATAATTTTGTAGTGGTATTTTGTATTGGTACTCGGGCTACAACACACAGCACTGCTATAATTGTAAGTGGTATTTGTTATTGGTACTCGGGGCTACTACACACAGCACTGCTATAATATGTAGTGGTATTGTTTGTTATTGATACTCGGGGCTACTGCACACAGCAACTGCTATAATTTGTAGTGGTATTTTGTTATTGAACTCGGGCTACTACACACAGCCCTGCTATAAATTTGTAGTGGTATTTTGTTATTGTTACTCGGGCTACAACACACACACTGCTATAATTGTAGTGGTATTATTGTTATTGGTACTCGGGCTACTACACACAGCCACTGCTAGAAATTTGTAGTGGTAAATATGTTATTGGTACTCGGGCTACTACACACAGCACTGCTATAAGTTTGTAGTGGTATTTTGTTATAGTACTCGGGCTATACACACAGCACTGCTATAATTTGTAGTGGTAATTTTTGTTATTGGTAAACGGGGCTACAAACACACCAGCACTGCTAAATAATTTGTAGTGGTATTTTGTATTGGTACTCGGGGCTACTACACACAGCACAGCTATAATATGTAGTGTAATTTTGTGATTTGGTACGGGCTACTACACACAGCACTGCTATAATTTGTAGTGTATTTTGTTATT